TACAAGGCCTTTTCTATTTGTTACCAAAAAATTGTACTTTTACCTTTGTTCTTGTAAGTGTTTATTTTGTTTTATGCATGTGGTAATATTTTCGGAGTATATGTCAGCATGATTTTCTTGTCAGCACACAATTAATTATTTTGGAACATCCATCTCTAGATTTTTTTTCTCTTCTGCTCGTTGCCCTTTTTACTATCAAGTGACATGAAATCATTAGCACAACCGACAAAAGCTTTTATGCAAAATATTGGGCGGGCTCCAGGTCCTTTTTCTTTGTTCAATATGTTGAGAACTATATCCTCAATCAGTTATGCATGATGTTGCGAAAACTGTTCAATTAATATTCCTGAGCTTGTAGTTGTTTTTTGCTAGACATTGTCTTTATTGACAGATAAAATGCTTTGTGGCATAGTTTCTTCATATTTTCCACTCTTAGTTCTATTTTTAATTCTATTTTGATTAGTATTCTTGGTTGGTTAGTTGTTAGCTTATTACTTTTAAAGGAGCTTGAAGAAGGGAAAGTTTGTGATATCCTCTGCCAGGTGAGCATATTGTCCTCAAATGTGCTAATTTTGTTCTTTTTGACTCAAGATGTAAGCTTAAAATGAAGAATATTTTCCCCTGGATATGGCAAAGGTTGTCCATGTTTGCAGAATTCCTAGTGGTGATGGGTTAATACTTTATGTATGGGATGGAACCGACACTGCTCCTGTAACTTTTAAATCAAAGTAAGTACTACTATAATTTCTCTTTACAATTAAATGTACACCTTTATTTATTTTATGAACATTTAATTACATGACTGATGTTTTATGAACATTTAATTACATGACTGATCTAATATGCATTATTAACTGTTAATATGACAGATGTAACCATCAAACTTGATATTATTGGTAACTTCTAGTAATTTACTATGCCAACTTCTAGTAAGCACACTCATATCAGCAAATGCTTGCTTCTCTTTAACAAATTAGCAATTTAAGTTTTATCTCTATCTGATATCAATCATTATCCGACCATAAGAATTTGGGATAAAGGCACTGTTGTTGTTTTAACTATGTTATTGTCATTTTCTCTTATTCTTCTTTTTAATTTTCATCTCATTCTCTTTCTTTCCTTCAACTTTCTCTTGTTTGCGTCCTGTGTACAGAGGAAAGCCATATCTATTGTTTCCTGGTATTTTGTCGATATCTTATTTAATCCTTTTTTTGGTGCATTTTCTAACCCATATTTTTTTGAAAACAGCCTAAATATTGAGGAGAGTACGCCTACTCCTATGCAACCTGAATCATCACCTTTGTCAAGTGAAATTTTAAGTTCATTTCCACGTATCGGGACGGTCCTCAGAGTAATTGCACCAAATGATTTTGAGCATATATTTGATGTACCAGGTCGTGAACAGTGGATAAAATTTTGTAATGTCACTTGTGAATTGCGGTCAGAAATTATGATAGGTGTCATGAACGCTGATAGTAAAGTCTTTATTTTGTCTGATGAATATCAGAATGTAAAACATCGCGAGAGGTAAATTCTTTGCATTTAGTAGCTAATAATGAGTTTATTATTTTGGACATGAAATACTTCTCTTGCTCTCTGTGTTGTCTATGTAGGATTTATAATGAACGGAAGGCATCAGACTTGGGACAAATCCCTTTGACATGCTCACTGCAGACTTCTCACGTTACTGGTTTACATTTTTTATGCTTTTTCTGTGTTTTGCAAATATAATTTTTACCTTAAGTTGTTGCATTATTGCATTTTCTTTAGGAATGAGGAGGCTGTGTATTCAGATAATCACAATTAAGACAATGTATTGAGAGAATCACAATTAAGACAAGTAACAACTAATATTTCTTCATGTAACTTGTAAACCCTCGCAAGTTTCTCTTTTTATGACATGAAACTTCCATCCCGAGAGAACCAAGAGAAAATATACTGTATTTTTCAGCTTTGCATCAATTTAAGGATTCAGTTCAGATCTCTAAAGGTCATGCATTTGATTTTTGGAGCATTTGTACTTGGGCTTATATTTGGACAACTGGGTAACATTTGTTAGCAACTTGTCTAATTGAAAGCTTATTTAGGAAAATGTATTTAGTTCTGTGTAGTATATCTTCAACGTCAATGATGATAGAATTACAGCGATAAGCACGATGACCACGGCCATTGTTAACTGAAACAAATGTGCTCTTGAGATATAATTAAATATAACAAGCCACAATGTCCTTTCAATTGGTGCCTCTGATCCCCATCAATATGATTATGTTGACAAATGATCTGAATTTCCTTGTAGATGAGAAATTAAAATAATTTAGTTATCTGTATAAGATAATCATGACCATAGTATTGGAAATGATCATTAGAATCTCAAACATCTTTCTGTTTGCAAGAAGGTTTAATAATTTAGTTACCTTTTCCTTGCATTGTATTGGAAATGATCATTAGAATCTCAAACATCTTTCTGTTTGCATATTTATGAATTTACTGTACCAGCTAACAGCTAATATACTTCTCTGAATTGTTTAAACATGCCAGTGACTGACTACGAGACTGTTCCATATTCGACCTTGATGGAATCCATTTATTCTGAGGTTTGCTGTTGCTGGTGCTTGATAAACTTTGTCTTGTTTAATTTCATCCATATGACAAGAAAGGAAATAATCAGAATACTGACAGTGAGCATTACTCCAATAGAAAAGCTGAGGATAGTTTGACAGAGGGATTGCTATAATATTTCCTTATCATTTAGTTGATGATAATGATATTTGTTATGAAGGAGAAACTGGAACAGGAAAGTACAAGTCTAAAATATTAGTAGAAACCATGTAGATTTACATTTATTGAAGTGATCATTTAATGCAACCATGTTTTTTTGACTCTTCCAATCAATAGACCGAGGTATTAAATAAAATGAATGTATTTGTACAGTAGCGAATCATTTTTGCCTCGAGTCATTTAATTGAACTAAACTCTATCCCAATTTCCCAAACAATCACCAAATCCATTTGATGTATGAAAAACCCTCGTGTAATATTGGATTGCATTTGACCAGGAACTACTGAGCAGTAAATGCGTTGTTAGAGTGGTAGCGTCCTTACCTTGGCGCGGTGAACATCTTCATTCCGTCAACAGATCTGTTCGTGCTCGATTAACACTTGAAGATCCAACAGCAAGACTTCATGCTTATATCTATGAAGAAGACTGGGTAAGTCATCCACAGCAGTTGAAAAGTTTGACGAAGAACTTTTTAGTAAACTCTCATTTTTTTTTTTATGCTTATTACATCTCGCTTTATGATAGGTACAATTTATTGGGCCTGATACGGGAGCTGATGATATAACTAGAAAGATGATGAAACTGTTGGGCATCAGAAACCCTCCCACAGGAGAGAAGGAGATGGCTTTGAGGAATCCTCCTTGGGTTAAGTGTTGTTTGAGGAAGTTTCATCGGGATGAAAATGATAAAGTCGGGACCATGAGGTTTCAAATATTTGGAACTAGGCTAATAGGGGATGCTGTTAATGACCAAGCTCAAGGAGAAGGCGGCGCTCAGGTGGAAGTAACAGAGGGGGTGACCGCGGATAGGCCAATTATCATCGACTGACAACGATGTTGTTAAAACTTGTGTTTTGATATTTTGTCGGTGTATATATGCACGGAGGTATTAGGGGTTAGGAGGCTTTTTTGTGATGTAATTAAATGCAGTTTAGAGAGACACCTTGGAGTTGGAGGTGCATCTGTTGTTTTGTAAAAAAAAAACCTTTTTTGGTAAATTAGCTCGAGAAACGCACCACTTATAATCATTAATTGACGTTAAAATGCCTGTTAGCTTTGTAGCTATCTTGCTATTTTCCTGCTGGATATGAACAGGTCAAATTGTGAATTATCAGGTATCTGATGAAACAATTAATAGGAAATAGTTAACACCACTTATGTGATTGCAAAGGACGGTCAACATCACAACTCAAGTAAATATCTCGGTTTGAAAATCAAACAGAAACAGGAAATACTGAACAGATTGACTTTGACTGGTCAGAATTTTTAAATTAAATCCCTCTTAACTAACTATTATATGAAGTTATTCGGAAGATGGTATGATTATAGTTTTATATTAAAACTAACAACAATAACGACTTCTTTCTTTGATTTCTCCGAGAGGTCCAGAGAAAGATGGGGACGCTTGCTAGTTGAAGCACGGAGGAGAGTTCCACACGCAACGAAAGTCCGCAAAAGCCACCAGCTCCACCTCATCTTTGAAAGAGACTTACAAGCTGTTCAAAGTTGAAGCAGCCCAAATACAACTCGATCCCTTGCATCTTACATGCATTCAAACAGAGCTCCAAACACAAAATTGGCTCTCTCTCTCTCTCTCTCTCTCTCTCTCTCTCTCTCTCTCCCCACATCATCATCACTCATGAAGAAACCTATTCTTCTCTTCTCCCTCCTCCTCCTCCCCCTGTTTGTATCCGTTTCAACTTCAGCATCACAGAGCACTCTCTCAAAAGGGTCCTCTCTCTCTGTCGAGGACAGCTCGGACGTTTTACTCTCCCCGGACAAATCCTTCACCTGTGGTTTCTACAAAGTCGGCGAGAATGCCTACGTCTTCTCGGTCTGGTTCACCAATTCGATCAGCAAAACCGTCGCCTGGACCGCAAACCGGGACCACCCCGTGAATGGCCACGGATCAAGGTTCAGTTTTCAGGGCGACGGAGGCGCGGTTCTGACGGATGTCGACGAAACAGTCGTCTGGAGCACCAACACGAGCTCAACGCAGGCCGAGATCCTGCAGCTCTCGGACTCGGGGAACCTTGTTATTAACGACCCAAATGGTAACACTCTATGGAAGAGCTTTGATTCTCCTACTGATACCCTTCTCCCTACACAGCCGATGACTAAAAACACGAAACTGACGTCTGCAACGGCTAGAGGATCGGTTTCTTCAGGATACTACAGTTTTCTTTTCGACAACAACAACGTCCTGACGATGATATACGATGGACCCGAGATCTCTAGCATCTACTGGCCTAATCCTGATTATAACGTGTTTCAGAATGGCAGGACAAATTACAACAGCAGTAGATATGGGCTTCTTGATGAGAAGGGGCGCTTCTTAGCGAGTGACGGGTTGGGTTTCAATTCTTCCGATTTCGGTTCTGGCACCTTGAGGAGATTGACCCTGGATTATGACGGTAATCTCAGACTCTACAGCCTGAACGAGTCTCGTAAAAGTTGGCTAGTTACGTGGGAAGCTTTCCCTCAGTTATGCCCAATACACGGGTTATGCGGTAGGAATGGGATTTGCTCTTATACGCAGTCGAAGACGGCGTGTTCTTGTCCTCCAGGCTTTGAGATGAGCAATCGGTTGGACTGGAGAGAAGGTTGCAAGCAGAAATTCGACACCGTTTGTGAGAAGCCTGAGAATTTGAAGTTTGTTAAGCTCCCTCGTACTGATTTCTGGGGTTACGATCTCAATCCGACCCCTCCTATATCATTGAAAGATTGTAAGAAGCTTTGTAAAGAGGATTGCTCGTGTCAGGGTATAACTTATAAGGTAGGGAGCGGTAACTGTTATAGAAAGAGCGCACTTTTCAACGGGAGATCGTCTCCGGACAATCCTGGCGACGTGTACCTTAAAGTTCCGAAAGGTGTAGGAACATCGGGTCCGAGTAGTATTTCTCAGGAGGATGAGCCGAACTGTAGTAAAGCAGAAGGTGTCATGGACTCATCAAAGAAATACGACAGCAGCGGCGGAAAGACAAGATGGAACTATTTCTACTGGTTTTTAATGGCGTTCGGCTTGACTGAGTTCTTCTTCATCGCGTCGGGATGGTGGTTCGTGTTCAGGAGAGAGCAGAAGCCTACGTCACTAGAAGAAGGTTACAGGATGATATCAAGCCAGTTCAAGAAATTCACGTATAAGGAGCTCAAACGAGCGACGCAAAATTTCAAAGAGGAACTCGGAAGGGGAGGCTCGGGGGCGGTATATAAAGGAGTCTTGGACGATAAGAGGGTAGTCGCGGTTAAAAAGCTAGAAGACGTGATCAAGGGAGAAGAAGAGTTTTGGGCTGAGGTGAGCGTGATAGGGAAAACGTACCACATGAATCTCGTGAGGATGTGGGGATTTTGTTCAGAGGGTTCGCACAGACTCTTGGTTTACGAACACGTACGAAACGGATCGCTAGACAAGCATCTGTTCACTAACCGTATCAGATGGCATGAAAGGTTCAAGATTGTGCTCGGGGTGGCGAAGGCGTTGGCGTATCTTCATCACGAGTGTTTGGAGTGGATCATTCATTGTGACGTGAAGCCCGAGAACATACTCTTGGACGATGATTTCGAGCCCAAGGTTGCTGATTTTGGATTAGCCAAGTTGACGAAGAGAGGAGGGGCTGGTTCGGATACTTCGCAGATACGAGGGACGAGGGGTTATATGGCTTCCGATAACCGCGAAGGCCGACGTTTATAGCTTTGGGGTGGTGATTCTTGATGTAGTGCTGGGGAGTAGAGTGTCTGATGGGGAGCTGACAGGCTTCGTTAGGACGGCGAAGGCGAAATTGCGGGGTGGGGATGATGAATCTTGGGTTGAGGATTTCGTCGATGGGAGACTGAAAGGAGAGTTTAATCGTGAGCAGGCAGCTGTGATGGTGAAAATAGCGGTTTCTTGTTTGGAGGAGGAGAGAAGTAGGAGGCCTACTATGGATTCTGTAGCCCAGAAGCTGATGTTATGTGCCGAGTAACGTAGTTTCCTGTATGGGTCTTACGCGCGTGACTCTCTCTCTCTCTCTCTTCTGAATTTTGAGGGGTTTTCCAGAGAGCTTTCATGAATTCAATCTCTCTCTCTCTCTCTCTCTCTCTCCTTCTATTAACCCAAGCATAGTAGCAAGTGTACAGAGAAATACCAATTCAAATACTTGCGGCATTACTCTTCAAGTTCGAAATACATCCACGGTAGAAGTCTATTATTCCATCATCTGTGAATAACATTTTTTTTTTAAAGAATGTTAAAATCTTTACCTATCAATGAGATGGTCCTTCGATATGCTATATGCCAACATTTTACCTTGCGTCCACAGGAAATTCACCTGCATCTTAGAAGTTCACTAAACAGCATAAAACTACATTGTATCTCTGCAGTTTTTTAGCTTCCTACGATTCCTGGTGTTACTACAGACATTTACACCTCGTTTGGTACGCAGAAATGGGCTCAAATGAGAATGGAATAGAAGAATGAATGGAATGTATATGGGAATGGAATGCTCATTCTCATTCTCTTGATTGGGTGCGTATGTAGAATGAAGCTGGAATGAAAATCTCATTCTGATTCCCATGTTTGGTATCATTAGTTCACAGGTGAGAATAAAATCTTATTTTCTAATAACGCCCTTACAACAACATAGATTTTTAAAAAGATAAAAATAAACATTAATGATAATAACTAAACAATTTTATTTTTAAAATTAAACTTTATAAAAATATCCAATATTTCATGTTTCTATCCTAGAATCCATTTCCCTATACATGCAAGCCTAAGGAGAAACAACTTAATCAATTGTTCATACATATCTATGTTATTAATCTGATTATGTCGCTCAATGAGACAAAAAAATTAGATTTATTTTTGTTATTAATGGGGGTGTAATTGAAATTTATGTAACTAATTTAATTCTCACTTGAATGAGAATGATCATTCCTCGTCAATTCACTTGGAATGCTCATTCCCACAATTCTCTGAAATGGGCACTCCAACTTCTAAAAAATGATTATGTTTGGTATGGGGAAATGAGAAGCGGGAATGGTCATTCATTCCATTCCACCCCATTCCCGTACCGTACCAAAAGAGGCGTGAAAGAAATGGAGAGTTCATCAATCATTCTGATGGTCCCTCATCCTGAAAAGTTCTCAAATGTACGAGGAATTTATAAGTTATCAACCTTGACAGAATCAATGTATGTACAACTTCATCATAGTTTCACACACACACACACACACACCATGAGAAAATTAATCTGGCATCTCCCATCAAAAGATTTCGGCTCCCAAAAATATATTGATCAGTGATTGAGTACATAAGGTAGATAATTTAGACTGTGCCGACAACAATGGCACAAAATTCTTTTTCAGTCAGGTTGGACAAAAGCTCTGTAACTCCACAATAATCTTCGAACTAACACCTCCATGAACCTAGGGACTGAAACAGGTCACGAAACAAGCATTTTACAGGACCTATCAGTTATAAAGCAAATAGCATGATGAACGGAAGAATTAGATGCAGGAAATAAGAAACAAGAGCTAAACTCTGGCCAGCAAGAGGTATGTCATATTAAAATATAAGTATCTAGAGAGAAAAGACTTCAATGGAGTAGTGTTCTGTATGTTGTTGCTCATGAAGACGATATCCAATGGTTGAGCATAATACATGCAGCTGCACATTCATAAACTACTGGACGACTTGATCCAAAAAGAATATATGGTGGTATAAACAAACAAATGTTTGCTGGTATCCAGTCTTCTATGCACTGTAGTATGGGAATGGTACAGATAGAAACCAAGTTTTTCTATTTAATATCTTTCATTATGCCTAAGGGTATGAAAGTTTCATGAACTGGCTTAAAAAAGAACAAAAATTGTGAATGCCAAAATCTGGTAGGAAACAAGGTTTCAACCACATAGGACAACAGAAAAATAACAAAACTAGACTAACCTTAGCCAAAAACAGACATAGTAAAGCTGAAAGGACACAAAAAAAAAAAAGAAAAAAGAAAAAAAATGAAACACTAGGATCTTCAAAAGAAGGCAAACTGATTGAAAATCAAATTAGATTCGATGAAAACACCAAAGAAAACAAAATGGAAAAACACATGATTAGCAATGCATGTTCTTGGACAAGCAATACAAATCAATTCAGATTTTTAAAAAGAAAATAAGAGGCTCCCCTAAATAAAAGAAATGCTTCATAGATTGAACAATAAAATAGGTGAATAGTGGGATGTAATAGCAGTCCAAGAACCATTCAAACAAATCTTATCCCAGAAGTTGCATTGCTCTCTGAACTATGTTTCCTTCTCCAAACATCTCACCAAAACAATAGATATGATCGTGATACAATATTCTTAACTAGCATAGGTGATTCTGATAAAAAAGAGAATAATCTACAGGCTAAGCTAAAGAATTGAGTAGTTTGGAAAAAGTGAAATCTAGTTTTGTTGAAGCGAAATTGGCAAGACTAACTAACAAAAAGCACGCCAATCAAGAACACCATCAACAACCACGAGTATAATATCACATCATCTAACTAACAAAAAGCACGCCAATCAAGAACACCATCAACAACCACGAGTATAATATCACATCATCAAGAACCTGTAAGAAAGGAATAGATACTAAAGAACACCATCAACAACCACGAGTATAATATCACATCATCAAGAACCTGTAAGAAAGGAATAGATACTACTATAATATACAGATTTTATAGATGGCATCAGTGAAGTGGAGCAAGAGATAACAGCCTTATCAGCAAGAAGAAATCATGATTTAAGTAACAAGGCAAATTTTCACTTGCTAACAATGAAAAATAATTGTTTTCATGATGGGCAGATTTTAGGATTTTTGCTGTTGTTTAAACTTAAAACAACTGGGCATACAGTTCCATTCGAATGTGAGTTCGGGCACTCTAAGTTCAATTAACAGGCATTTGAGTTCAATTAGCACATGAGATAGCATGGAATGTAGTGTTTAAAATATTGAAAATTCTGGACTGTTTGCATGATATATTAAGATGCGTATACGGCATGTGTCAATATATATGATTCAATCGCACGGTGAAATTTTTATTTGAATGTTAAGAAAATGTCAACACTTAATCATAACTTATATGTTTCCGTTTAGAGAGCCACACACACTTAGTGATACTAAAGGAATTCAAGTACTCCCATAGAGGATATGCTTTAGAACTAATAGGGACTGGCATGATATCGAAAATTGACAGTTTATTTAAGGTACATCAGTTGGCAACACTGATTCCCTGCTATAACTACAAGACAACTCTGACGCAAAAAAGATGATCCCCCTTGCACAAGGTGAGATATTACTTGGGATTTTTCTACACCAACAATAACAAATAAATCCTACCCCAAATTCTCAGGATAAGTTGCATCTGTATATTCTATATACAGGTTGAAGACTGGTAAAAAAATAATTGTGCATGATAACATCTTTTAGTACCGACCATCCTCACGCTTCTCTTTTTAACATGGTACAGTATACACCTTCCGTGAAAGGAAAGTAAAATTGCTTTTAGCTAGTTTGGAAAATATTTCTTGCGAATATAGCATATAATGATAGCAACTCAACAAATTGAGGAAAAAAAGGCAACACATTGCATCATAATAATGTAAGGAGCTAAAAGCCAAAGGTACAAAGAGGTTATCTAACCTTGGGAAGAGTAAGAAGACAACAGTTTATCATAATCATATTTTCGTCGACATCATAAATTTTGGCTTCTTTTCTGCAGGCTTTAGAATTTGAAAGGAGCACATCAAGGTTTCATCAACACTCATCATAGCACCAGCATTATCAAATTCACCACAGTAATTAGGTGCTGAGAATACAGTGACTAGTTGTCTATCTGCAAAGAACTCATAACCATCCTCCACAACCTGCACTTTTTCAAAAATTAATGTTAAACAAGACCCAGGCTTACCCAACAAGTTCAAAACAAGTAAGAACAGTTTTTAACCTGATGTGCACGACAGACAAGATCTAGATCATGCTTTGTCAAGAACTCAGCAACTTTATCATGACCAAAAGTGTACGAAACCCCTCTATCATTAATTCCCCATCCTTGAATTTCCCTACCAGGATCGGACCAAAGCAGGTCACACAATAAACCAGTATCAGGGACATCGGTAGGACGTGGTAAGCTTTTAATCTGGTCCAGGTTTGACAAATCTGGGGAAAGGCCGCCATGCATGCATAATATTTTGTCATCTATAAGAGCAGCTACAGGTAGACAGTTAAAGCAATCAGTGAACACCTTCCATAGTCTCACGTTAAACCGACGCTTACATTCATCATAAAATCCATATATCCTGTTTATAGAAGCGCACTCATGGTTTCCTCTCAGAAGAAAAAAGTTCTCGGGGTATTTGATCTTATAAGCAAGAAGAAGGCATATTGTTTCCAAGCTTTGTTTTCCTCGATCCACATAATCGCCCAAGAATAAATAGTTGGCATCAGGAGGGAAACCTCCATATTCGAAAAGCCTTAAAAGGTCACTGTATTGACCATGAATATCACCTGAAAATCCAGACAGAAAAAATGAGACAAACTGGAAACAACAATTTGAAAGGGAGAATGACTACCGCCAAGCACAAAATAGATAGATGCAAGCAATTCACTCAATATTCTACAATAAAAATGATATAGGAAATCAAAAGAAGCTTAATATATGTATGTATCCTTTAACAAAAGTGACCCAGCTAATTTATTCAACAACAGCTAGTGGGTAGCATGAATACAATCAAAAGCATCAGCCACAAGAAGGTCAAAGCTAAGGTTTTGTGAGCCATATTGTAGGATTTGAGCATTAGAACAGTCGCGATATTTGCTTATATTGTTTTTTTTTTTTTTTGCAATAACAGTAGGAATTAATCAAAATTTGTTACATCACTGATAGAGAAGACAAAGCACGTCAGAACTATCACAAGATGCCATCCAATAACAAGCACGTATTTCAACTAAACATCATCTGCTCTGAATCCTACCAGCGTCTATTTGATTTATGCAAGTTTAGTACGGTACCGAAATCAGATCAATAACAGAACACAGCCGAACGCGCAAAATGATTACTTTCATTTTAGGGGGGGTGGGCAAAAAAAGAGAAGAAGGGTGTAGAAGTACGGAAAAGGGACGGAGAGGATCAGACCGCAGATCTTGATCGGAGCCTCGAGCTCGAGGAGATTGGGCTGCTGGAGGAAGATCTCCTTCGAAGCGACGCAGAGCTGGCGGATCTCGGCCTCCGACATCTGGACTTGCTTCCCGGGCCTCGCCGATCGAACCTCGAGGAGCCTGCTGATGATGTCGTCGAGCAGCGCGGGTCGATCGCTTGCGTTGGCACGCGCGCCATCGCTGCCGAATGAAGACCGATCGATCGATCGATCGACCGAGGGGGGATTACAAACCCTAGATTAGCAGAAGAGGGGGAGGAAGAAAGAGGATGATGAGGACGCGGTTTTGTTTTTGTTAGTCTCTCTCTCTCTCTCTCTCTCTAGTCTCTACTGGTGTCTTTTATGCGTTTTGCTCCTCGTCATAATTTGTTATTATCTTCTTGTGAGCCGTCCCGCCTCTGCTTCTTGTTTGTTGACATGACGGGGAGTAAATTTTGTAAAGCGATAAAGAGTGTGCCGGCGGAGATGCCAATATTTAATGTATTTGTTTTTAGTTCAATTCTAAATACTTATTTCGTTAATCAACTTAATCTAATTACGTGGAAGATAAGCCTTATTATGCAATAGAAGAGGGACACCTCACTTGTCCCCCGTTGGTCTCATATTTTAAGTCCCTGTAACAAAGCTTATCTATGTTATGGATCTTTTTCTGTGAGAAGCTTTGTGTAGCTAAAAGTTTGTAGCTACGAGTCCATAGGTAAAAAAGGACAGAGGAGAAAGGGAAAAAAAATCTTATACAGCTTTTATCACATCCTTTTTATTCGACGTAAACTCAGCAAACTGGGTGAAGCTGAACTGTCATCTGCACGAGTCAAATTTTATCAGTCTACAGGGAGAGCACGAGCACAACATTCAGAGCTAATATGATCTCGACTTCCTCTTTGACCGTACGAAATTAAACCGGGAAAATCCATTTTCATCCAAAATACAGCAGCCAAAGATGATGCACGTACAAGTAGTTTTTGTAATACCCCAACTCTTGAGAGGGTGATGTGATTAGTATTGATAGATTTGATTGGAATACTCATACCACCAAGATGCATCTTCTTTTCGGGAACCCAACTCTTAGAAACTTCAAAGTTAAGCGTGCTTGGCCTGGAGAAATTCTAGGATGGGTGACCCTCTGGAAAGTTTTCCAGGGAGTGCGTGAGTGAGGACAAAACGTGCTGAAAAGACATGTGGTGGTTTGTGAGGCCAGTCCATCAGATCTAATAGCGTACCGACTCCGGAATTCCGGAGCGGGGCGTTACAAATGGTATCAGAGCAAAGCCAACCGGAATTGTGAGAGCTAAGTGCTATGCGGCGCAAAAGTGCTACGTCGAGAGGGCGTGAGCCACCTCTTGAGGCCGTAGGAGCCACCTCTAGAATCTCACACGGATGGTACGGTCTTGGATGATATGATTTGGCACAACGAGGACGTTGTGAGTTTAAGTGGGGGAGTATGTAATACCCCAACCCTTGAGAGGGTGATGTGATTAGAATTGATAGATTTGATTGGAATACTCATACCACCAAGATGCATCTTCTTTTCGGGAACCCAACTCTTAGAAACTCCAAAGTTAAGCGTGCTTGGCCTGGAGAAATTCTAGGATGGGTGACCCTCTGGGAAGTTTTCCAGGGAGCGCGTGAGTGAGGACAAAACGTGCTGAAAAGACATGTGATGGTTTGTGAGGCCAGTCCATCAGATCTAATAGCGTACCGACTCCGGGATTCCGGAGCGGGGCGTTACAGTTTTCAGGATACAGCCATGGAAAAAATGGTTGAAAACAATGTGCATATGCGGATTGGGGGGCAAGCTATAAAGCTGCCTCCTCCCCCGATACCAGGGTCGAACCGGAGGGGGTGGGAACGGAATTAAGATGGCCCCTCGGCCCTCCCCCATGGGGTTTTCTTGGCGGCTGGGGTGTTCGAACGCAGGACCAAATCTCATCTCTTTGGAGGCCACAAGCTTGCCAAGTCCCCATGTTTCGGATAATCTACTCCTCTATACAAATGGTAGAACCCAAGAGTCACTATTGATGCTACAGTAAATACTATATTAACATTTTTAGCATTATTACTGTAGCAAACGTGAAAGTGGATACTGTATTTTTTAATACTGTAGCGGTGAAAACCGGGATTTCTGTAGCGAGGAAAAAAACATGTCGTGCTTTGCACGGTGTTCACACTAAAGAAAGTGTTAAACCTGACATGCAACCTGCAAATTTCCTACAATCGTACCAAAAAACGAATTCTCACAAGCGAAGAGTCACTGCAGTACTTTCCGCCGCCTGTTCTCATGAAGATATTGAGATACTGTGATGCGGGCAACACATCATCATGCACCTACTACAGATAATGGATTCCAAAAGAAGTTGTGTTCTCAAATAAGAAGTACATCGGCAACAAAGAAACCAATTTAGTCCTGTATGAAAGACAATTAAATGTCACGTACAAGAGAATGGCATCAAACCTATAGCTGAGCGGAAAAATCTAAGTAACATGAATGCGTTACGCTTTTGAGATTGATGGTTTCTACCTATACAAGACATGAGAATACGTTGCTGGCAGCAGCCACAAAACTTGCCACCATATAAATACTCACTGAAACAACAAAATTGTCCTATTCATCTAAACGCTGTGAACAAGGAAAATATCCTAACATCGATCAGCAAGGCCAGACAAGCAGGATTTGAGTATCTCATATGTCATGAAAACAATACCAACACCGGGGACAACTTTATAGTACTCAGGCAAGATTCCCCTGTACAGACCACGAAAGCCTTCGTATTTGATTATGTGGCCAAACGCACCAAATAAACCCGAGTTGTAGACCCGAGCTCTTCCAGCGGCACCTTCCAACTGTATTCGTCGCCTCACAAGATCCAATGGGAACGTCACTGAGAAATATAGATCAGAAGTCAGCATGATAGTTTTAAAAAATAAAAGTACCATTAACATTTTATCCTACATGACCTGATGGAGAGCCAAGCTCACATGAACTTCTTAGTTCTTAGGTTCATTATCAATCAAACAAAAGTTACTATAATACAAAGGGTAAGTTTCAGAAACCCCCTTTGAACTTCGAAGCGTTTTCCACGAAACCCACTGAACTGAGCTTTGTTTATTCCACTAAACTCCCATAGACTTTGGTGTGTCTCACATAACCCCTCTAAACTTTCAACTTTTCCTCACGGATCGCTACCTGTAGATGGCAAATAACTAAAATGTCCTTGAGATAGAGAAAAACCCCCAAATTAATCATTTACCATTTACCACTATTTTAAAAAACATCCGCCTAGTTCGCTTAGGCGTACGCCTAGGCCTAGGCGGTACCTAGGCCGCCTAACTAGCGCCTAGCGCCTAGGCAGTATTTCGACTGCCCACCTAGATTTTACGAGCGTTTAGGAGAGCATTGTCTGCTTACGTGGATTGCACCCTGTAGGCATTGATTGTGATTTTATGTGTCGTAGTCTACACATCCTCCAAACTCCATTAACCTCCAAATATGAACACCTTCACTACCTCCTCCGACCTTTAGCAAAACCTCATCGATCACCACTTAAATGAAGAAAGAAAAAAATGCCCAGAAACCGCTTAGGCGTCCGCCTAGGCGACTAAGCGCTAGGCGCCAAGTCTGACGCCTAGAAGCGCCCAACGTTTAATGTAACATTGCCATTTACAAGCAACAGACCCCATTAGGGAGGTTTCTCTCTCAAAACACGATATTTGGACACCCATGTTCTATGACTCCGATATTTCTAATATAATAATATAAACCAAAGAGAGGAAATATTTAAGGAAAAAAATTATGAAAGAATCTACTAAGTGAATGATAGAATCGGTGTTAACAAGTGTGTTGTGATTTCATGGCCATCCAAACCCACATCATATATTAGCGATCCAAGTTATCCAACGCCTAGAGGAGAGATAAAATCCGTATCACATTTAACATACTGAGCCTATGCAGTTCATTTATCACAATTTCAGTTACATACCAGTTGATGCCGCAATGCCAGAAAGACTTCCACAAGTTAAGCTAACCAGGACTGCAGAATCATGTGGCCTGCCAAGCAAAGAATCAAAATTCACATGTTAGCTGCGACTATATGGTGAAAATAAGTCAATCCTCAGCAATAAGGAACATGGACACCTTAATAGAAAAACTGTCATTTACCTTTCGAATTGCCAAAAGGATCTCAGAGTCTCATAAACAGAGAAGCTAATTGCTATACTGGGTCCAACACCCTACGGTTTTCCAGATATTAATGTCAACAAAGATACATAACAGGAAAAGACGAGTTGTATTGACTCTGAACTCTACCAGTAGTGTTGGTCCAAGACCTTTATATAATCCTCTGATACCTTCATCTCTGGAAATGGAATAGAGTGCGTGTGAAATACCTCTATAGTATATTTTCTTGGTCTGCAAAATTCAGATCATAAGAGATCAGGCATGCAATCAAAGATGATGTTACAGAAGCAAGAGTCAATAATCCAATCGAAGCCCTCAGATTTTACATTTGTGAAACGTAAAGGTTTGATCCAACATAAGGGGTGCGATTCAAAGGTAGTTCCATTTTCATATTGGACATGGATGATCCAAACCAGAATTCTGAAACAAATATATACTGTGTTTATCTAACAAGCACTCTATGAGGTAATCGTACTTGTAGATATGTTTTACTGGATATAGTTGCAACCATGTATATTCTTTGTAAAATAATTTGATAATTGTACGAATGTGAACATGTTACTCCTATATAGTTGTTGTTGCCTTTTTTTGCGCGTTTAGTATGGTTTGTGGAGAATGCCAAAAGCATGTGCCAATTTACTATTGCCCTTCAACAAAACTTATATTTCCTTCCTTTTTAAAAAAAATATATATAGGGAGAGAGGATGGGGTTCCAAACAATCTTTCCACTAAAAGGTAAATAATTGTTTTGTTAACTTAGACCCTAAATGTACAAGCACAACAATGTGTAGCACCAATTTTTTTGGTGTTGGCTGCCAAATTTTCTTTCTATATCTCTTAACTCAATATTGATACCAAAATGAGGTATTGGTCACATACTAGTTAAGATGTCATGGCACCACACCAAAGCATGACTATCCAAAAAATTAAGTGCATCAAAGGATAAGAGAAGATCTATGCAATTATGCAAATCTAAAATGGTATGTCTTCTGATGCAAGACATTGAAGAATGATATATGCTTAAAAATATAATAAATTCATATATGCACTGAGTACCAGCAATTGACCTGATAACTCTTTGTTACTAAGAAGAAAGGAGTCACTTCATTGTGGTGCTGGATGTAGGGGAGGCACATTTGTGTCAACCCTACAAGGAGCATTAAACAAATGAGAACAAACTAGGTAAGTAGGTAATAAAGATATTAAGCAAGAGTATTTCGCTAAAAGAAGCAGCTTGAAAAACCAACTATGGGGCCATATGTCGTAACAAGTTTGTGGCAATGAGTCTAAGGTATTGTATATCACAATATGAAATTCAAGGTTACCAAGAAACTAGTTTAAGAATACAATGGCAGCACATAGTTTGCTACTACAACTAAAAACAATTCTGGAATACAGACACGTAAAGAATTTGTAGCCGAATGTCACGTCCCTTCATTATATAATTAATTAACACTTATGTTGGTTTGGAGTGTGGCACGTGTGTGTGTGTGTGTGTTTGTGTGTGAGTACATAGATATATGTGTGTATTCTTGTGTGCGTGCATGTGTGGGTGGGGATGTGCGTGCGTATAGAGATCTATACTGACAGAAGAAAGGAATGCATGTAAATTTTAAGCTATTTTAAGATTCCATGTGTACCAAAAATCTAGCAATATTGTTTAATTGTATATCCTATATAAGCAGCGGACCGTCGTACACTAAAGAAGACTCATGAAAGGTAACTATACGTAATGAAATTCACCATATGCCGAGAAATCAATCAATAAAAGAAAAGGTTAAAGAGTTCTGGAGACAGACATATGAGTGACGCCACCCATAACAGATATTCGTTACAAGTTTCAAACAAATAATGAGAAAAATAACCATAGGAAAGCATAAACATCTGGTGGATGAATAAACTGAAACAAACGAATAGCCTTAACCTAGCATGGAAATGATGTGATCACCTGAGCTGCAAGACGTGTTCTCACAAGGTCTAACGGATATGTGATGGATGCCGCTGTTATTCCTGCAAGACCACCGCCTACCAATCGCACGCCGACATCCGCGCTTACGTAATCCTTATGCCTGTCAAATCCCGGTACCAGTTGTAACAACTGCAAGAAACACAGTTCTGAAAATTAGTAAGAAGCTCAACACCGTAGATATCTGGCTAAAAACTTTTCAATGTTCTTACATTTTTGTAGCGTTCGTAAGCATAAAAGCTGATGGAAGAGTAAGGCAACCGATGAGCAATCGTGACCAAGTTTCCTCTCCAGAAAGCTCTAAACCCTTCTTCACAAGCAATTCGCGAAGCCTCGCGCCATATACTAGCATTTCTTAGAGCCACAGCATCGGCGTGCATCCCTTGCACCTGAAGAAGATGAGTGATCAGGCCTTAATCTATCTCTAAAAGACTTGACTGAAATATCCAGTAACCAATTGCAACTAATCGCCCAGTTGAATAAATTTACACTAAAAACAGTATATTTCCCCCCAAGATACAACTGACTCTTCCCCTATCAATCTAATACAAAGTAGAGAGCGGTGCATTTTCAGGCTTATAATTGAGACCTAGGCGTTAATCACCAAGAACGAATCTTTATACCTGAAAGAGGATGGTGAGGCGAGCGAGCGGAGCAGTGCAAGTTTTGCTCACAGCTCCGGCGACTCCTCCGGCCAAGAGATTGGTAACCGTCCCGATCTGAGCCTGTTGCTGATTGCGCGCCGAGTATTTAAGACCGCCGCCTCCATGGGCGGAGCTTAGAGCCCTATCGCCAACCGTTGCCTCCGTCTGCATCGCGTTCTGTGGGTTCCAACCCTCGATTCCTTCGAGACCCTCGAAACCCTAGCTCAAATGCAAAAAGGCTCGATTTTTCCCAGTTATTCGGTACGTTGTCTCGCGGGAATTTTTTACGTGTCGTCGATGGGAGATGTTAAGGGCGAGGATTGAGAGCCCGGCAGGGAACACGATGGGCTGTGCGCGAGGCACCGTAAACGGAGCAAGTTATGGGCCCAGAATCTAAGCGCACATTAGAGAGAATATTCTTTTTGCCCGGTTTGAAATATTCTGGAACAAATATACAAATATCGAAGCATTTTAGACTCACTGCTTAAAAGACGCTTGGGTTTTTATTAAACGCTCTACAATTATTATGCTCCCTCAAATTTCCCACATTATGGCAACCACGCTGAAATCCCATAATCACAATCAGCATGCCTCATACTAACTTGGACGGTCTGCGTTGTTCTCGTCACAAAAGCTTACAGAAAAAATGAGTTACTATTTGTAGATCTTTGAATACAACGGTCACATTTTGATGGAAGTTTTGACTTGATAATACTCGATCATCAGTTCCTTTTTGTGCCATGAGTACAGGCTCCCAAATTGAATAAACTGGATGTCGATAAGCAAATCCAATGATTCTGAACCTATAGGGTTTGCTCTGGTTCCAGAATTTACATGTCTCACGTTCCCCTGCGATCCTCCCTGCATCGAGGCTTTCCTGAACTTTGAACCTGTTTTTTTTCCCGCCTCTCCATGTCAACCGATGATCTTTTGCTGGTTATCTCTCACGTTGCAGGTAACCAACTGGGTTAGTCAGCAGCTTGGTTACAGTAACAGACCAATGCGAAACATGTACTACATGCGACGAGCTCATCGTACTGAATACTCAATTAAGTAAAACTTCTATTGAGCAAATCTTATCTCCTGCGTCATTAATCACATTATGTACCTACGAATCTGGGAATGTTTTTATTGAAGCGACCTGGTTGCTTGACCAAGAACGAAAGAATATCAGCCAACTTAAACCACGCGGTAAAGAGACACAACTGAATTTGCACCCACTTGGTGAGTAAAGAATTGAGAGAACCTGCTTCTATTCAAATATCAGTGTATTTCACTATTTGGCCTTACATAACACTGCAAGATCATATCAACACCACCAAAAGAACAGGCAACAAGATGACTTGGATTAAATTGGAATTAGATACACGGGAACACCAAAAGAGAGAAATTGAGGCAGACAACATTAAAGCTTTATAATTCAGTTTCTACTGTTCCATTTGGTTTCGAGACTAGTCCCCTCCTTGAGAATTTCTTGAGCATCCCTGTCCATACCGAGACTCGAGAGTGAAGCTGCTTGGAGATAATATGCAGTAGGCCACTCGGGTGATATGACCTGTGCTTGCATTGCGTCACCTAAAGCTTCTTGTGACATATCATTCATCAAGTAGCATAAACATCGCCGTGCAAATACAGTTGGAGATATCATAGTTCCACAATCAATAAACTGCAGAAAGAAAATAAAAAACACCAATCAGTTTCCTTCCAATATTTGAAAAGCTCATCATATAAACATGGGAGAAAAATGACTAGGTTCTACTGTTGCAATAAAAAACAATCAGGCAGCAGGTTCTGGTTTTATCCCAATTTTAACTCATTCCGAGTCACTTTGACCAACCTGCGTATAATAATCAATTGCAGTTCCGAAGTCTTTAGCTCGAAAAGCACTATCTCCGTGCTTCTTAGAGTTCAAAGTGTCCTGCATCTGGTTGGTCCACATCTGGAACGATAGCTGCACATGAACAATAACTCAAACATAAATTCTTATACTTTCAAGAAAGGAAAGAAGGTTGAAACTGACAAATGTGTTGCCAATCCTTCTACAAGAACTACGTAAATTACCAGTCGAGAACAACTTAAACCACATGAGACCTAAATGGATATGTGGAATTTCATGATTGTATAAAGTGTTAGGTGCAGAAATGCAGTATCTAATATAACTGATATAGGATACATTTAACAGTTCTTCAGAATCTCTAGTGCTTATTAGGTGGAGGCAGAACTATTCAAGTCACAATTTGATGACTGCATGATTGATTGCGAGACTACTTCTCAGATGAACACCTTGGTATCACAGACGCACATGACAAGTACAAGAATGCACACGCGAGCGCACTAATACAAATATGCAAGCACCTGGAGACGCAACGAAATGGAACAAAGTAGGAAGATGGTCTTTTTCTTTTTTTTCTTTTTTTTTAATTACCTCATTGGCTATTCCCTCGTCATCCTTGTATCCAACTTTCTCTAATATTTCATGTATAGCTGTGAGGTCCCCTCTGGAACAAGCTTCACCAAGAGGAGATAATGGTTTTTGTTGCAATGAAGCTGAGGACTCGCGAGGAATGCCCATCAATATATATGATGGTACCTAAAAAAAGACATTAAAAACATGTTAACAACAAAACCTGCAAAAGGATATCAAACTTCAAAACAAGATATCCTAATGTAAACCAAGAGGATCTGAATGGAAATGGTCGAGTGGATGGTAAAAGAGAAAAAATGATTAGGGAGAATTTGTCATATTGGTTGGAAGCATTTCTTGATTCAATTTTTATTTTTGTAAGGTAAAAAGTCTAATGTTACAACAGGAAGGTACATCCAATTGGGCTTAGGTACTGTGTAACAGATTTATTAAGCCCTTGCAATAGACTTACTGTGTAACAGATTTATTAAGCCCTTGCAATAGACTTACATGAAAAGAAAAGTGCATGAAAACGTTACACAAATTACACTTCATCAGACCAAGAAACTCGAAAGATGAAGCATAAAAGACTACTTAGATGTTTATCAAATGAAGGGTAAAGAGGAAACAATTACACAGTTGCCAGTGGAATGTCTTCAAATTTACCATAAACTAAAATTAAGCTTTAAACAAGATGCACAAAAAAAATAAAGAAAAAGAGTACTTAATGAATTTTACCTCAGCTTCTTTTTGAAGTGATGTAAGGGCAGTGACCAGCGATTTCGCATTTGGCCTCTCACGTGCTTCAAATTGCAAGCATCGAGAAGCTAACCGAACCAAGTCAGTTCCATCATCATTTGAGAAGTGGCCTTCCAGACAGGAGTCCAGCAGCATTTGAAAATTTTTACCACGTATTAGGTCAAGTGCCTGTCGCAAAAGGATTCATGTGAAATGAAAAAGGCGAAGTTAGCTACTACAATCTTTAGATACATGATACTGGAAGTTGAATGAAATATTATTATAGTCGCAAAGTATCCTAAAATTGTTTGATACAACAGTAATTGTTAGTAATATTCACATACAAACCACGAGATGGTCTCTCCATGTGCGTGTGCGTGCGCTCATGTGTAGCACTATGATTTGTGGAGGGCATGGTGCAAAATTAACTTGGATCCACTATCAATTGCAAAAATAAGACAAACCCGACCCGTTTGTTAATTGGGTCCAAGCATTTTATGCATTACCATGTAAGGAGACAAGTAAAATGCCTTTATAACCATGTGATATATGTGACAAATAAAAAAATTTAAGAGCCTTAAGTATAACGTGTTTAGTCTATAAACTCTAAAGGTACAATTCGAAGGAAGCAATGTCTACATACAACACTCATTTTTTGGTCCCATAAGGAACATGCACAAGCATAAGTAACAACTCTATATGTGTGTGTGCACGCGCGAGAGTGTGTGTGTGTGTGTGTGTATTGCGGACATTGAAGAAAGCAGAGGATAAGTAAAGAGGTCGATTCATTAAATATGAATTAGCTCCCTAGAAAATTAGTAAGATCATATTACTTTTCTGTGTAAAAACTTACATGACTAGGAGGAATGTGCTTCCCACTAAGAAGGTCAAGCAATAGAGTGCCAAAGCTGTACACCACACTCTCCGGTGTCACTCTTCCTGCAAAATTGACGCAACAAGAAATCAATATGGTTTTATATATTTGAGGTATTACCAATAAATCTAAGATTCGACACATGATAGCACAACCTCACTACTGAGAACTGAGTTTACATAGAAAATTAGGAAAGAATTACTAAGCCACTTGCAGGGGGAAAATAAGGGGTAGCACATATAAAGGGAGCAACATCCTATTCCTTCTCTATATATGGAAAGCAAAAGGAAAACATATGTAACTTCACGATTGTTTTTTCATTTGTCACAATAAACAAAAATCCATGGACTCTTATAAGACCATTTTTGAGGGGCATGTGGAACGAACACAAGAGGTCTCCCACCAAACTACAAGAGATTGGCAGCTATTGATATCTATTACATCAGAACTATATTAATGATGGAGGTTTCATAACGTATTCCTGCCAGGCAAATGAACGAAGAGCTAGCACGGAGTGAAGAAAGCAAACATTGCTGGCAAGCAACCATTCAAACTCACTTCTATGGCCTTCTGAAAATATACCTGTCCTGAGATATTCTGGAGGTGTAAATGCCAGATTGGTACTATAGCTCTTCCCATCTCTGCTATTCTTCATCAGACCGAAACAAGACAACCTCGGATTTCCATCCTACAAAAATAACTCCATGCTATCAAAACCTACATCCTTTTAAAAAATATCACCACTAATCAACAGCCTTAGAACTAAACAAAAATATTACCATATCAAAGAGAACTCTATAGGCATTGAGATCATGGTACAACGCCCGGCCTTTACTCCCACAGTACTCCAGCGCCTGTGCCAAGTACAATGCCACCCTTATCCTCATCGCCCAACTCATGGGCTGTGTATCCCCTGCTCCAGTTTCACACGAAAATCCCCCATCAAAAACAATATCAACAAATTCAATAAACTCAAAAACAATCAAGCTTCCCAGAAGTTTGTTCATTTATGTCTGGAGGGTTACTCAAAATCCAATGACAACCACAAGCAGAAAGCCCTTTATCCCAAGTTTTTCGGGCATGCTAGGTGAATCTCAATTTTCCATCTTGTTCAATTATTTTGGTTTTCTCCTACGTTTAGTTAAACTGTTGTTTTATCCTTGTAATTTGCCCCCCAGATTAACTACAAACTTACCATTTCTACTAACTAGTGCTATTTAGTGTTCTTCGCTGTTCATAACTTAAATATGATTCCATACTAAAAATTAGAAATCTAGACACTTACAGTGGAAAAGATGTTTGGCTAGGGTTTCATGAGGCATAAACTCAGCAACAAGAAGCCTCTCATCTCTCTCGCAGCAACACCCTATTAGATTCGCCAACCTCTCGCTCCTCAGCTGACCAACCGACCTCGCCTCCTCCTGCATCAACAACTCATCATCAACAACATCAGATCAACAACCAAAAAACGCCCCCCGAAAAGAGAGAGAGAGAGAGAGAGAGAGAGAAAATGGACGGACGAGAAATTGACGAGAATCCGGCCACGCCGACTTGTTGAATCTCTTGACGGCGACAATGCGGCCGCCGTCAAAGAGCTGAGCTTTGTAAACAACGTTCGGAGCCTTCTCCCCGTGCTCGGAGACGATATTTTCCGGCGAGAAATTGTCGGTGGCCGATCTGAGCTCATCGAGGCTGAACTCGGAAAATTGCGGGAGAGCATTACGATCGGATTTCCCCCCGTGTTCTACAAAAATCGAATGAAAAAAAAAACAAACTTTAGGCAAAAACGAAGGGAATTAAAAGGGGAAAGCGATGAATCGATCGATGAAGTACCGTAATCGTCGGATTCGAGGACTGAAGAGCTCCTCAAGTGATGAGATCCCCACCAACAAATGGAGAATCTTGAGCAACGACCTCCCATTGATTTTGATCTCAGCTTCTTCTTCTTCCTCCTCCTCTTCAAGACTTGTAGTAGCAGAGTGAAGTGATGAGTGGAGTTATAGATCCAAGATTTTTCTCTTTTTCCTTTCTTTTTAAATATTTTATCAACTTTTTATATAATTTATTGCACAGACTGTCATGTTTTCCCCCTTTTATGCTACAAATCTTGAATGCCCTCTGCTTTAGCTCTCGAGTTGAGTTTTCTATCTCTTTTTTTATTAGAATTTTCTTTTCCTATCTTAAATATTTATTATTAAGCAAAAAGAATTAAAATTGCAAGCTACCAGTCAAAGATGTTGTTCTCTCTGGTCAACGCAGATTCACAGACAAATTAATTAGCCAAAGCTAGACGTTAAAAACGCTGCCGTGTTTATATTTGTTTCCTTTCAAACAAAGATGAGGATTGTTGACTTATTAAGATTAACATCCATATTATTCTAGAAAGCAGATGTTACAATGAGTTTTGCTACATTGACCTAAAATATGGGACCAACAACGGGGACATGTGAGGTAATGATGGTCAACTTATTATGCAATAAGAGGATGACACTTCACATGTCCCTCCTGTTGGTCCCATATTTTGAGTCCTTAAAAAAATTTTCATATAATTACGTTTATTGGTTAATATGGCTTTTAAGCATTTGTATGTAGGTTTATCGACTGCATTTAGGAACATAATAATCTGTCACTAGCTTTTTATTGACCGAGTACAGGAGAAACCCGTGAGGCTACATAAAGAAGGCAAAGCACTATCAAAAAAAAAAAAATCATGCATGTTCCTCTTTAATGCATCCCATAATTAATGACGCCCAGCCTATTACGTGTTGTTCCTTTGTTGGATTTGGTCTTCCGACTTTTTAATTACTAGGAACAAAATCATTACACTTTTCATACAACTGCTGCAGAGAGGAGAGAGGAACAGCTGTCTGTTGGTTGTAGGATTGGATTGGAAATGGGCCAGGGCCTTGTTCCAATATTTTAGGTGGCATAATCATGGCGTGGCCACCGACGTGGGCCGATGCTGGGCCGGGTTTATTATCCTCATCGGCAAGCAGGAGTTGAGCTTTATGATGACAAGGACGTGTTCATACTCTCTTATTTTATTACGATGGAGGATCCACATCATCTGTAATTAAACGTAAGCTGCCCCGTCCACGTTCTCGCATCGGAAAGAATGAATAGAGAATTGATTTTTCGCTGTTTGGTTGGTTTTCTTGAAATAAAGGAAAAGTATATTGATGATGAAAACAATTAAGAACGGGTTTCCATTCATTTCCTTACAAAAAATCTAGGAAATGTAACCATTATAAGAAATACATTTCTTATAATTGATTTCCTTGAATTTTTGACCAACCAAACAGCCCCCTTAATAGCATAACTAAGCAGATATTCAATAGAAAGATGCGATTCTTGTTATTATTAAAATTTGCACAAAACTTTTCTAGAAGAAATCCACCCTCATAAATAACGCATCCCCTTACCGATGCAGAAGAAGATTATAACTAACAACATGAAGCAAAATACACCCGGTGGGCTCTTTTCAACACAAATACCAGAAAAACCTGGAGCTTTCTCGTGATCTCTCACACTTTTTAACCTTCACAGCATTCGCATTGCAGCCGCAATTGGTGTGAGCACTGGAGCTCAAATGCGAAATCACGTTGAACTACAACTGAACTACTCTTAAGCTGCACAAAATTAAGTCATTATACACTTGATTAGCGGCACGACGAAAAAGATGGAAGAAAAACCGCACTAATATGGAAACCCATGCATGGTCTTCTCTTTTAAGTTACATGTTGGATGTTGGCAGGCCTTCGGCCACAACCAACGAATTATGGAACACCAGGATGCTTCCCGCTTTGGCCAAAGGCTTTAGAATCTGCAGAGATTTGCGCGGCATCTTGAGCGCTTCACCAATTAGAACGTACTTCCAAGATTATGTACCATTTATTGCTGTCGCATGGTTCCCGTTTTCTAAATGCTTCCCGTTCATCTGGGTTCGCTGTCTCTGAAAATAAAAACCAGGAAACATAACATGTCAGAAGTCGACATTTGCTATTACATCGAAGCCATACCGCATCCATACGGTGCCAGGCCTCTTAAAAACATATTATGAATTGAACATTTCAGAAAGGAGTCAAAATTTTAGATTATGTGTAAGCGTACCCAATCAGCCGTATCGCCAGAATTCCCATTCAATAGCTTGTGGTTCTCCTCTTTAGCTCTGTCTTTTTCTTTGGTGCTCAGTGGCAACAATGGGGCAGCTCCACCGGTTCGATCAGGCATTTCTGTACCAAAGAAAGAAAACTTTACAAATGCACGTCTCTGTCACTGATATATCAGTTCACAAATGTTAGTAGACTGATTCTGGGGTTATCCATCAATATTATTGATCATTTCATAACCGGTTCACAAACCACAAGGACATCATACTTTGAAAAATGTTTCCAAGTATAGGTCAACCTGGAAAAAGATATAGATGTATGAATACGATATAAAGATCAGGTTGAATGTTGTTGGGTTAAGATCAAACGAAAACAAATGAGCCTTGCAGACCAAGACAGGCGGGTTCACAGAATTCAGCATACAGCATGAGATTCTAAGAGATCTAAAACTGTTCCTAGAGATCTCAGATAAATGAAGGATATTCTGGAAGCCTTGCATATTCATTCGTCTGAATTGGATTTGCTTTTCACCTTTACCAAATATACGAAGTGCAGTTTTCTCCTGCTTTGCTTTACAGATCTCCATGTACCATTTTTCTGTTCTTGTTCACTTACAGACTTACACTGCAGCTGTTTTAAGTCCTTTTATTTTCATTAACATAGTTTTCCTTGCTTTCCGTTGGTTTTTTTCATAAACATAGGGATAGATCAAGATTTCAGTAAGCCTGAGCCTATGCACTTCACTTCTAAATGGGGTGCGCAGTTTCCGCGTGTAACTGGAGACGGGGAGAGGAAAGGGTGTGTGTGTGGGCTGGGTGGGTGGGGGGTGGGGGGGGTGGGGGGGGCCGCGCGAAGAGTAAAGAGGGGGAGGTGGTGTTGGCAGGGGGGCGGATTTCGTCAGCAGGGCGAGACGCTGAGTAAACAAGATCGATCATATGTTCTAAGTTTACAGTTTTTGCGAAGTGCTAATGTTAATGAGATGATAGTTGGAGATGTTGGCATCTCATGAATCCTGTTAAATCCCACACGAGCAGAGAAGAGTAGACAGGGGAAGTGTGTGCAGAGGGGTGGGCGTGTGTAGTTTGTTTCTTTGGGTTTTTTGTTTTTTTTGGGCTGGTGTGGGGGGGGGGGGAGGGGGGGGGAGGGGGAGGGTGGGTTCTCTGAGCGAGGCGAACGAGCACTAAACAATATGCAAAATTTCCTAGTTACCATTTTAAAAGTGCTAATTGTTAAAGAATGATCGAGTTCGGGAAGATTGTGATTTGATTTCAGCTGTTCATCCAAGAGCAGCATGTCTCTGGATCTTTGTGCAAGTTGTCAACCCTCGTCCTGTCTGACACCGTGTTAGGTCTGAACTGAAGATACTTGGACTATTGTCATTATTTCGCTGTCTCCAACTCAAATGCATAAGAAACTCTAAGAGTCGCAACCTTCACTCCTCTTTTCATAGTAGATCAGGGGTTTAGTCATATTATAACATGTTGCCATAAAAGTCGTGATATTAAACCATATCTTGAAATCGGAAATGTGGATAAATGAAAGAAGCAGAAGCAGTTCCGCATGGCTGCTGACTAAACCATGTCAGATACAAGCGTCACACTACCTAGTTTGACTAGATGGATGTAACCTCATGAGCAAACAAAAAACATATTAATCGATGGGTTCTCAATTTGTGTAAGCAACGGTATGAATGAGACAGAACATGTTCATAGCGGGTGTCGATTTTCAAATGCTTGTTCAAGGTGCTGAAGCTAAACCTTAAAGGGAGATGTGATACAAGCAACATGATAAAATGAAGAACAACACCTGATAGCTGGCTGTCAAGCGAAAAAATACCCACCAAATTTACATGGCTACCCTGAGAATAGAAGCGCTGCAAAACGAGGTTAGAGGCAACAATCTACAGCAGAAGGAGTGACAATCGAAACTATACAGAAGAAACTATATCTACTACCCAGTGGCGCAATCGACACGAAACATCCGACGAGGTAAATGGCGTTGCGAGATAAGCAATTATAAGGGTCAGACTCTGATGACAGCATCATGCCACGCAAGAGTTCTTGGATAAGACCTGCGACAATCATAGAGGATATGAATCACAAGGCAAATTGAAAGAAGAGTAAGTAAGAGTTCTTAACCTGTAGCCTCTTAGAACCATATGTTATGTAAAGTACGCACAAAGACAAGAGTCGAATGAATCAGGTGGGCAGTAAATATTGCGAGAGTACCACACATATGCCAGACCGACGAACTGCAAACAGGGAGAGCGACCCCAAAGTTGAGACATGTGATTAGCATAATATCTTAATGAGCCTTGCTCATGGGGTGCTATGCTCCCCAATCTGGAGGAATTGCGCACACGTGGAAGAAAAAGAAAACAAGCCCAAACGTGAAGATACCTTACACATTAGTGAGAAGAGAGCGACTTCCCACGCGTTGCTAGGGGCGGGGCAATTATGATCCTTTACCTCATTTCTATTATGGATTTCTGTCTTTTTTAAAGCTGATGCCCATGAATAGTTTACACTCGTTACTTAATTTCTATAAAATCTATATTAGCAGTCATATCTTAAGTGCACAGCTACCTACACATGTCTGTCTACATGACAATGTATCGTTTTGGGACATCTCCTTATCTCCTATCTCCTATTTTTTTCCAGTTCTCTCAATCGTATTTGATCATTCGTATATAGTTTACATTTTATGAAATTTCCCTTTTTCCTGTTGTACAAAGGGTTATGAGAAGTATGACCTCTTGTAATCCTCTGGCACATTTTCATATCCCTAACCAATAAAATTTTTTAGGTGTCCAACTTCTGCTGTATCCCTGCGTCATAGCAGAACTGGCGTGCCACTGCTGCCACTTTTAATCATGACTTTTAAGCTGCATTAAGCCTAAATACCTGTATAGCAGCATAGTGTGCTAACTTTAGAGATTCTTGTAACTTTACTGATGAGTTTAGTGTAGCGACATGCTATTCATAAGGAGAAATCTGGTAGTGACACAGATTAGTCTATCCTTGCTAGATTCAAACCCTATATAACAATATTCTTAATAAGGCTATTTGCTACCATAAAAATGCTTGTCTACACAAGCTATGGTGCCCGAGTATAACATTGAGCCTTGATCGTGGAATATAATATCTTTATGCAATGTTCTGGTAGACAATTTCCATTAATATCTTTGGTTAATGTATTTCCACAGCAAAGCAGTACGCATAATCGATTATTACCTGAGCAGCAAACTTTATATATAGTTAGCTGAATTGCTTTACTGTAGTCATGCTTCTCCTTGCACCCACAAATTCAGACGTATCTACCAGTCTGTGCGTTATGACCTACACTATCGGTTTCCTCTCTCTACTGTTCACACTACTTAGAAAACTCATACATATCCCTTAATGCCATCTTGAAACATATCTATAAGGACCCTTAGAACCATGGAACATCTCCTTATTCATACCAACTCAATATCTCGTTCGTAGAACGAATGGCGCATTTGGCGTCCTACACCTTTGCAAAACACTAATGATTTTGCACAATATGTATGTTTCTAGGTATCTAAATCCTCTATAATCATGACATCCTGTCCAATCCCACCAAATATTCTACTTAAACTATGACTGAGGACAGCTTACATATAATAAACAAGCACAAACATGTGTACAAACCTTATGCATTTATTACGGTGCCTGGACTATTGCAAGAGTTTTGTAGCCTCAGACCTAGACCCCATTTTTATGATTGAGATTGGACTGTGCTTGTGTCCGATCTGCTCTACACAAGTATACTGAAACATAGCGTTTCCTGGCCAATGCCGGCCATCTACGTTCCCAGTAATGACATGAGCCAATTGCTGCGATGTATCAGTCGGCTGCTCACTTCAAGCCCAGTCATATATTCCACAACTATCTTATCATCAATTATACGCTTTAGGCGAACGCCACGTATTCGACATAGTTGCTGCTAGGCTGAGGCCTTAGCTAGCCACCAATTTGATTTCTTCCTATAATACCACCTCCTTCACCCACAAATGAAACGCCTACTGAAAACTCCATCAAAGTACGCTGGTCCCACTTTTCAATCTGTTTATGAGATTCTGTTATTTACATATCCTATATATTGAGCCTAGCAACACCATCACACCTCCTGCACGCGAAACTCCCTGCGCGGGCCGACAGTTAAGCTTCTTATTACGTGTGCATACACGAGGTCAATGGAACTCGGGACTACAGGCGGGGGTACGTTGAATGTCTATCTTTAAAAACAACTACCTCGACCTTGCATTTAGATTCCAACGAACATTTCTGTTACTTCTTTTGTCAAGCTTGCATATGTATTTCTCTTTTGATCTCGTTCTCATGTGACACCTTTTTCCACAATAGTCAGGCTTTGCTCAGTGCTCCTCTCCCCATGTAGTTTGCAAATGAGTCTGATTATTCTTTTTTCACGCATTACTTGTCCAGATGTCTCCACGGACAGGCGCCATGCTTCCTTATACACGTGCGACATTTCACCTCTTCATTTTATCATAGTAAACGCTTTCTTAGCAGTTCTACTTTTGCCCGGGCCGGCGTTCTTGCCTTATTTTAGTTGTAAGTTCTAATTACTGATAAACTTCTGTTTGGCGATTTTTTTATGCATATTGGTGACTACCCAGCAACGAAAATTATCTGCTTCAGGCTTCTCAGTCTTACGTGATTATCTACATTTTATTCTACTCCAATCTTCCCTGGCAACTATCATGGCTCGCCGATATATGTAGGTACTAATTCCTTCTGCCAGTGTTTTGATAAGTTATTTTTTCATGACCATATTGATCGCGAGGTGCAACTATCAAGATTGCTCTCGTTCACCTACAATGGATTTCAGCTGTGTACAATTTTTGAGTGCCCAACTGAGACGGTACTGCGCTTCAGCTCCACCTGATTGCAGAGTTCCGAAACCTATGCCACATTGCCCCGCCCCTAGCAACGCGTGGGAAGTCGCTCTCTTCTCACTAATGTGTAAGGTATCTTCACGTTTGGGCTTGTTTTCTTTTTCTTCCACGTGTGCGCAATTCCTCCAGATTGGGGAGCATAGCACCCCATGAGCAAGGCTCATTAAGATATTATGCTAATCACATGTCTCAACTTTGGGGTCGCTCTCCCTGTTTGCAGTTCGTCGGTCTGGCATATGTGTGGTACTCTCGCAATATTTACTGCCCACCTGATTCATTCGACTCTTGTCTTTGTGCGTACTTTACATAACATATGGTTCTAAGAGGCTACAGGTTAAGAACTCTTACTTACTCTTCTTTCAATTTGCCTTGTGATTCATATCCTCTATGATTGTCGCAGGTCTTATCCAAGAACTCTTGCGTGGCATGATGCTGTCATCAGAGTCTGACCCTTATAATTGCTTATCTCGCAACGCCATTTACCTCGTCGGATGTTTCGTGTCGATTGCGCCACTGGGTAGTAGATATAGTTTCTTCTGTATAGTTTCGATTGTCACTCCTTCTGCTGTAGATTGTTGCCTCTAACCTCGTTTTGCAGCGCTTCTATTCTCAGGGTAGCCATGTAAATTTGGTGGGTATTTTTTCGCTTGACAGCCAGCTATCAGGTGTTGTTCTTCATTTTATCATGTTGCTTGTATCACATCTCCCTTTAAGGTTTAGCTTCAGCACCTTGAACAAGCATTTGAAAATCGACACCCGCTATGAACATGTTCTGTCTCATTCATACCGTTGCTTACACAAATTGAGAACCCATCGATTAATATGTTTTTTGTTTGCTCATGAGGTTACATCCATCTAGTCAAACTAGGTAGTGTGACGCTTGTATCTGACATGGTTTAGTCAGCAGCCATGCGGAACTGCTTCTGCTTCTTTCATTTATCCACATTTCCGATTTCAAGATATGGTTTAATATCACGACTTTTATGGCAACATGTTATAATATGACTAAACCCCTGATCTACTATGAAAAGAGGAGTGAAGGTTGCGACTCTTAGAGTTTCTTATGCATTTGAGTTGGAGACAGCGAAATAATGACAATAGTCCAAGTATCTTCAGTTCAGACCTAACACGGTGTCAGACAGGACGAGGGTTGACAACTTGCACAAAGATCCAGAGACATGCTGCTCTTGGATGAACAGCTGAAATCAAATCACAATCTTCCCGAACTCGATCATTCTTTAACAATTAGCACTTTTAAAATGGTAACTAGGAAATTTTGCATATTGTTTAGTGCTCGTTCGCCTCGCTCAGAGAACCCACCCTCCCCCTCCCCCCCCCTCCCCCCCCCCCCACACCAGCCCAAAAAAAACAAAAAACCCAAAGAAACAAACTACACACGCCCACCCCTCTGCACACACTTCCCCTGTCTACTCTTCTCTGCTCGTGTGGGATTTAACAGGATTCATGAGATGCCAACATCTCCAACTATCATCTCATTAACATTAGCACTTCGCAAAAACTGTAAACTTAGAACATATGATCGATCTTGTTTACTCAGCGTCTCGCCCTGCTGACGAAATCCGCCCCCCTGCCAACACCACCTCCCCCTCTTTACTCTTCGCGCGGCCCCCCCCACCCCCCCCACCCCCCACCCACCCAGCCCACACACACACCCTTTCCTCTCCCCGTCTCCAGTTACACGCGGAAACTGCGCAACTAAACAATATCAAAATTTCCTAGTTACATTTTCAAAGTGCTAATGTTAAAGAGATGATAGTTGGGAGATTTGGATTCATTTTCCTGTTCATCCAAGAGAGCATGTCTTGGATCTTTGCAAGTTTCAACCCTCTCCTGTCTACACGATAGCAACTAGAATTGGACTATCATATTCCTGTCTCCAACTCAAGAGAGCATAAGAAACCTAATCCACCTTCACCCTCCATTTCATGTAAGATAGGGTTAACATTTATAAATTGCCATAAAGCTTATATTACAACCACTTGAAAACTGAAATGTGATAAAGAAGAACAGAGCAGATTTGCCGCATGGCTGCTAACTAAACCATTCAGATAAAGCTCACACTACCTTAGTTTGGACTAGTGGGAGAACCTCAATGAGCAAAAAAAAACATATGTAACTGGTTTAATTTGTTAGCAACGTATAATAACAGAACTGTTCCATAGCGGGTGAATTTTAATGCTTGTTCAAGGTGTGGCTAACTTAAAGGAGATGTATACAAGCAAACATGAAAAATGAAACACACACCTGATAGCTGCTTGTCAACAAAAAATACCACCAAATTTACAGTGTACCTAGAATGAAGGCCAAACGAGTTAGAGCAACAATCTACCAGCAGAAAGTGACAATCGAAACTATAAGAGAAATTATCCTACCATGCAACGACAACATCCACCGAGTAATGCTTGCGAGAAGCAATTATAAGCAGACTCTGAATGACAGACATCATCCACGCAAGAGTCTTGATAAACCTGCACAACATAAGATATGATCACAAGGGCAAATTAAAGAAGAGTAAGTAAGATTCTAAACCTTTTACCTCTTAGAACCATATTTATGGTAAGTACGCACAAAGACAAGAGTGAATATCATGTGGGATGAAAATATCAGATCACCACAACCATATAGGACACCCCGACGAACTGCAAACAGGAACACCCCAAATGAACATGTACATAATATCTTAATGAGCCTTGCTCATGGTCTATGGCTCCATGAGGAATTGCGAATGGGAACACCCAAATGAAGATACTTACAGTTAGTGAGAAGAAGCACTTCCCACGCGTTGCTAGGGCGGGGCAATGTGGCAAGTTTCGAACCCTGCAATCAGTGACAGAAGGCCAATACTCTCAGTTGCACTCAAAAATTTACAAGTAAAATCCATTTAGTGACAAGCAATTCCTTGATAGTTGATCCTGATCAAATATGTCATAAAAATAACTTATCAAAAAACTGGCAGAAAGATTGTTACCTCGCGACAGTGATAGTTAGGCCCAGGAAGTTGAGTAGAATAAAATGTAATAATCCGTAAGAACTGAGAAGCCTGAACAGAATTTTCCTTGTGAGACCAAAGCATAAAAAATCGCCAACAGAAGTTTACAGTATTAGAACTTACAACTAAAAAAGCCAAGACCCTCCGCCAAAGTAGAACTGTATAGAAGCGTTTACTATGATAAATGAAAGGGTGAAATGTCCACTGTAAAAGGAAGCATGGTGTCGTGAGAATTTGGAAAAGTAATGAAAAACAATATCAACTCTTTGCAAACATACATGGGAGAGGGAGATAGCAAAGCCTGTATTGGCAAAAGTGATCACAAAACAATAAAAGAGAACATACATATGCAAGCTTGACAAAAGAAGTAACAGAAATGTCGTTGGAATAAATGCAAGGTCGAGGTTTTTTTAAATAACATGTAATAAACATCGTCAGATGTATTTGACTAGGCTCATAAAAAGTGAAGGTAAAAACAGGAATCCATAACAGCTGAAGAGGTTGGGAAGCCCAGCACAGATTTAGTAGCATTTGGAAGGAGGTATAAGAAAACAAAGGGGCTAGCTAAGCCTAGCCTAGCACAACTATATGAAACTTTGCTGCCAAACTAGAATGAAAAGACAATGTAATATAACTGGTGAATGACAGCCCAAGCATCCAGCAATGCTCATGTCATATGGGAACGAATGGCCGCATTGGCCAGAAACGCTATCAGTTACTTGTAGAAATGGACACAAGCACGGCAATCTAACATAAAAATGGGGTCTAGGTTGCTACAACTCTTCAATATCCAGGCACCAAAACAAGGTTGTACATGTGTGTTTGTTTTAATATATGAATGTTATCATATTTAAGTAAATATTTTGGATTGCATTCATGATTAAGAATTTAAATACTAAAAATAATTTGCAAAACAATTAGTTGCAAATGGAGGACTCAATGCTGCATTTCTTCTTACGAACAATTTGGTATGAATAGAGATTTCCATTTTTCTAAAGGTCTTATGAATATTTTCAAGATGGATAGAGATTTATATGTTTCTAAGTATTGAACATAGAGGAAACATGTGTCAGTCATAACACAACTGTAAACTCTGAATTTTGGCAAGGAGAAGCATATCTAGTAAACAATTAGCAACTATAAAAGTTTGCTTCAGTAATAATATTTGCTACTTTCTGTGAAAACATTAACCAAATATAAGGATTGTTTACAGAACCATTGCATAAAAATATATATCAGCAGCCTATGTTATACTGCACCATAGCTGTGTAGACAAGCATTTTTATGTACAAAAGCTTCTTAGAATATTTTCTAAAGGTTTGAAATTCTAGCAAGGATTAACTAATCTTTCACTCCAGATTTCTCTATGAATAGCATGTCGCTACACAAACTCATCATAAAGTTCAACAGAATCTCACTAAATTACACAAACCTATGCTCTTACAGTATTTTAGGCTTAACTGGCACTTAAAAGTCATATTAAAAGGGCAGCCCAGTGCACGCAGTTCCTGCTATGCGCAGGGTCCAGAAAGAAGTTGGACCACCTAAAAATTTTATTTGGTTAGGAAAAAAAATGTGCCAGAGATTACAGAGGTCATACTTCTCATAACCCTTTGTACACACAGGAAAAAGGGAAATTTCATAAAATGTAACTATATACGAATGATCCAAATCGATTAAGAACTGGAAAAAAAATTAGCGATAGGAAAAATGTCCCAACATACATTGTCAGTAACAGACATTGTAGGTACATCAACCTAAAAGATAATGACTGCTAATAATAGTTTTATGAGAAATTAAGTAAGAAGTGTAAACTATTCATGGCATCAGCTTAAAAAAGACAGAAGATCCATAAATAAAAATGAGGTAAAGGATCATACCAATACGAATGAGATAAAGATGATGGTGAATACTGTCTCACTAATGTAAGAATTCTCTATCCCAAGTTCCTACACCAACAAACATATAAAAACAATAAAATGTCAACTCAAACAGTTGTGTACATTTTGCTACAAGTGAACCACGGTTAGCTTTTTTGTTTTCCAATGAACTATAGGTAATAGAAAGAATAGACTATATAATACACGCACCGGAAGGATCATGAACCCAAGATCCTGGAGAACAGGTCCAGGTCGGTGTAAATAATGAACTCCTCGAGCTGCCAAACCATGAATATACTAGAAAGAGAGAAAAAAAATTACAACGTAAGTGTCCAAGTTAGTGATTACCATTGTCAGTGAAACAACTTAGAACACATGCAGGACAAAAAAGATACAAACAAACAAATATGCAAGTTTTCCCGTGATAAAACATTGGGTGGAGTAACAACATGTATAAAATCATCCCTCCTTCATTAAGAACAAACATCACAACACTGGACTACTAGGTTCAAATCATTAGTTGTGACAAATGGAGAATTTCCTCCAAGAAAATATTGTTAAACTAACAGTATGTAGGACGATGGTATGAGTGAACAATCCATGTACAATAGAACCTTGACTGCATATCCAGAATTTAGACACGATAGATGAATTTCTAGCTGACATTTTCATATGAAGTAATATAGGATGCGAAGCTAATCAAGAAAAAGACTGAACTGAAAAGGTAATGGCATCCAGGAACAAGTGACTTTAAGATTCAGGTACAAAATGATAAGAAAGATGCAAAACCATATTATATGAAATTTGTATATGGTATTGAGCGGGTTGCGGCCCTCGTGACCATGAATCCTGAGGTAAGTATATATATTGAAGAAAAGTAACAGCAGGACTTGTTTCATGGAGCACTAACAACACCATCCTCGCAAACCACCATTGATGGTAGAGTGTGTAACAGTGTACTCCACACGTAAATTTGCGCCCGAGTTCATAACTTATTTCCAAGCACAGCGAAGCATCGCAAACTATCTCAACGTACATCATATCACTTTGTAACAAACACATGCATGACCCATAAAACCATAAATGATGAACTATCGGACCGTTGCCTACATTTACATATACATGTCCGATAAACGTTAAAAATCTTTGCATATTATACTGCACAATATTGAAATTTGTCTCCCAAGTTAGTTTGAGACTATGGCTCAAAATCGTAACAGGCTTCAAGTTGGTTCTATTGCAATTTACAAGACATTAGACATGAATTAAAAGGTTACAAACAAAAAAAAAAATCCTACAGCGTGACATCAAAATTGATTCCCAAACGTTTAGTTGTATGCTCGAAATACACAAGCAATTGAAAAATACGCATCATAAACCAAAGCCTATTGAATCTCATCTAAGATCAGCGATACCTGAAAGACAATTCCTGCGAGCAGAAGCTGCCACTTCTCCAAGAGAATCTGAAACTCCACGGACGTTTCTGATGCGATCTTCCTCCATAACTGCAAACAAAATATCGCGAAAATTGCCTAAATCTTTTTAATATTATGAAGAAGAAGAAAAAAAAACCTTGAATAAAAGCTCTAGAAAGAAAAGAGAGAACAAACCTTGGAAGCTTCTCGAGCAAGGTACATGGTATTTTTTTTTTTTATCAAAGCGACCTCATCCATGCCAACCCATCATCGTCGTCATCGTCATCTCATTGCCAATCACGCCAAAACCCTAATCCAATACCCCGATCGATCAAATACACGCAAAACCCTGGATCTCCGACCGCCGATCCCCCAATCGAAAGTATCGAGATTCCAAAAGCAGCGGAAATCGGAGGACCAAACTGAAACCGAAAACTCAAGAACCCGTCGGCAATGACTTTTTGTACGGTCGGGACGTCGGTGGGCCCCACGCGGCGGCGGTCTCTATCCGTCGCTCTGATCAGCAGCGGAAAGAGAAGAATTCAAGTAAAGGAGAAGACTTTTTTGGAAAAAACCCACTTCGATCCCGTCTGGCTCCTGCTTTACCCTGATAGCTTCAGATTAATTACGGTTTTGCCATCACGGTACAGATCGTTCCCGCCGTCCTCTTGATGGGTAAATCTGTAAATTTGCAGGACTCAAGTTTGACTAGCTTACGATTGCGAGTGTGCAATTTGTATTTTGCGGTGGGAGCAAAGTTAGTTAGACAGCCTAAGAGCAAGTGCAGCAAGCTCTCAGTTGGGAGTCCTAGTCAGCATGCTCTCAAGAGCTCTCAAGCTTTTCAAAATAAAAAATTAACAAATTATACCTTGGGAGGCACTCAATCTTTTATGGAGCTCCAACAAGCTCCTAGTTAGGAGTTCCAACAATATCAAAAAAAACCCTCTTCTATTTTAATATTTCACCCATTACTTTTAATTATATTTAAACCTCTTGTATTTTATTTCAAAAAAATTTCAACGGCATGATTTTATTACAACGGCTGAATTTTTATACAACGGTAACTTTTCATATCAGCAACACAACTCAACCAATTAAAAAAATCAAATCCCCACCGCAACATCAAACCACAACTCAGCCAATATCAAAAAATCCCAACCACAACTCAACCCCAAATCAGTTCATCTTCTCCCCAAATCCAAAACAGTTCATCTTCTCCCCAAATCCCAACCCCAAATCCCACCCCTTCGACAACCTCAAACAAGGCACCCAACCCAGTCGGAGGCCTCATCTTCGGCGCCTCATCTCCGGCGCCTCATCTTCTACCCAGTCGGAGGCCTCTTCTCCCCAAATCATCTTTGTTTCCCCTCCTCTTCCACATCTCCGGCGCCTCTTCATCTCCCGTTGGATTTTTGCTTCTTTTTTGGGCAGATCTGCGAAGATGTAATTGTTGGGGCGCTGACGTGGAGGTGGAGAGCTTCGGAGCTCCCAAGCGCTCCACAAATTTGTGGAGCGCTTGGGAGCTCCGAAGCTCTCCACCTCCACGTCAGCGCTTGGGAACAGGTTGGGAGCGCTTCGGAGCTTGTTGGAGGGGGTTAAATCGGAGAGCACATCCACGTCGGAGCTGAGAGCGGAGTTGGGAGCTTGCTGCCCATGCTCTAAGAGTCCAGGAGGGCCTATGCGTTTTTCTAGTTTTAGTTTCTAATTATAACTATTGATATTAAGTGTTAATGTTATAGAAAACTTAAGCGCTAGACTGATAACTAGATAATTTTCTTAGCTGGCGATGGAGAATGTTTTGTTTAAGGTCGAGAGAGGTAGAAGAGGAGTTCAAGGTTAGAGTTTAATGAAGGTTGGAGAACGTGAATGTTGTATGGAGAAAATCATGACCAATGGCTAAAGGGCACAGTCCATGTAGGCAGAGACCACGCTCCCCAATGTGCTTCCCAAATATTGATAGCCTACAACACCATCCAGACGCAAGGTGCTGGGTAAATGGTTAAGGTACCGCGTAGTCTTATGCGTACGCTTAGGTGGGCGAGGCGAAGGTTTTTTAAAACATTTGAGTGAGTGGGAGTGAAGAAACCGCAAAAGCGTGGGCCAGATTTGTAAATAAGTAATTTTTCAAGGAAACAGAGTAATTAGGACTCACAAGCGTAATTACCAATTACTAATCACCGGCCTAAGCGTGTGATTTTTGGGGGAAAGTGAGATTTAGGGCGGCTAGCTCATCACATCATTCACATGCCCCACGTTGGAGCGTTAAATCAGTCGACACGATGTTGATTTTAATTACGAAGTTGACATTCGGTGGGAGTAACGGAAACGTTGGTTTCCGCACGTGAGGTACCGGGTTCCGGTTTCGAATTCGAAACTTTCGAGAAGGAAGCGCGTTGAACATTTGATTTGGCGATATCTCCAAGGTTTTGGCTGCTAATTAATCTGTTGGGTTTAAACTGGGTTTGTCCCTGAATTCTAGCCCATGTGTTAATAACCACCTTCAGTATTATCTGGCACACCCAATATAAGGGGGTGTTTGGTTACATTTCTATAAATTATAGGAAATGTTTTCCATTCAAAATTTGATTTCCTTGTATTTCTTAAAAAAATTATAGGAAAAGTTTTGAGAAGTTAAAAAGTATAAATTTTCTTATTTTTTGTATTGTGCTTGTTTGGTTCAAAACAAGAAAATGACTCATAACTTTTGGGAAAATAGCAACATTTCCTATAATTTATAGAAATGTAACCAAACACCACCAACTTTATAGAAAAGTGAGAACTTTATAGAAAAATGTTAATGAGTTTTATTATTTAAATAATGAATGCGTCAGATTTTCAAGAGATTTCCGCCCATTTTAGAAGGAAATCAATTTCTATAAATTTTGGTACTTTTTTATACTTTACAGAAAACATTTCTGTAAATCTTTTTTGAGCCAAACACAGTTTATGAAAATCTATAGAAAACTCTTAATTACAGAAATGCCATTGTTTGTACTTTTTGAGAAAACATTTCTTAAAAACAATGCAACCAAACACCCCTCAAGATTCATGACGTATCTTCATAAAAAATATAGTTACGTATGTATATTTTAGCATGTGAAAAATTGACGAAATTCTGGAGTATATACAGTCCATATGACAAATGTACAAAAACCTATCGTAAAAACGAGACATCATCAAAATTCATCTTTCAATTGGAGATAAAACTGAAAGATCTCAAAAAAAAATCTATGATGTTATTCAGTAATGGGTTAACTGAGGGGTCAATGAGATTTAACCCCTTCATAACGCACCAAATATAAAAAATCTATACGGCTCCGTTTGGCAAATGGTTAATAGATAGGTTAAGAAGGTTTAACCCATCTCTAACCCTCCAAACAAAAAATCTTGCATTCCGGCTTACAAACCCTCACGTGAGGGTTAATCTTTAGTTAGCCAGTCTAATGACGGGCTAACTATTATTCCGCGTGAGGAGGCAGAGTAAGGCTAGTCCGCATCATCCCTTGGGGGCAAGAGAAGTAATTATGAGAGAAATTTGATGAAATGGATACTACTGGGATACTAGAAGCTACCAAAGAAGCAATATGAAGCTGGAATGAAAAGTGAAAAACTTTTGATGAAGTTTATATTTTAGGTTAGTTTGATTGTAGTAGCAAACATAATTCTGCATTGAATATTTGAATAAAAAAAAGTACACACAAGTTAGCTATTTTTTTCCTAATTTAGCTAAAAAAAATTCTAATTTAGATTTGTTGTTATTAATCTTATCAACAATCATATATTTAAGTAGTACATAAATGACAATTAATATTTGTATAGATAAGATGATGTAAATTCCAGTTGAATTTATTTATTATAAAAAATATTAGAAAAAAAATCTTAATTCCAATAAGATGAAAGTTGGTATATTTCTAAAATTAGTGTGTTTAACATACTTAATCCTTCTTTATTTGCCAAACATAAATAAGTTAAACTTTCATTTTAATTATCTAATCCAACTCATGACAAGTTAACTAAGTCAATCCTTCTCTCTTAACATCCTACCAAACGGCACCTACCAGAGTTAAAGTAAGTTAACCCTTCATAATTTACCAAAAGCAAAAAAATGCGTAAGAGTTAAACTAACCTCTCTAGATGGATTAAAATGAGTTAACCCCTCAAAATGAGGGATTTACAAGTACTCCTATTTAGAAGGATTAACAATTATTCCCTCTATTTATTAAAAAATAGTCAAAACCCTCATTATTTCCAAACACTAATTGATCACGATAGCTAAAATAAACCTTATTTAACGGATAAATAAGTTCTTCTGGTTATTGGATGGACTAACTACATTAATATTTCTCTTCAATCTCTCTTGCTCAACCTTTTGCCAATTCGTCTTTCAATTGGAGATAAAATTGCTTTCACCAAACTGACCCTGTACACAATACCTCATCTAGTCATCTAGTTTTCTTGTTCAGCGTATCTTTTCACACGATCACGCCCGCAAAATAATATATTAGATCCCTATCCACGTCGAATCATAACTCGATGTGATATAAATACAAAAAAAAAAGCAGTATTTTTTTCATCATCATGATGAAATACAAAGGTGATAACAAATTATGCATGAAATCGGAATAGCCAACGCCAAGAAATCAGTGGTACATGTAATTGTAGCCGATGCATAAGCCGTGAATAAATCCTATATTTATGTGTATATATACAACAATGACAGTCGTATCAGACTGACAATGAAGTGTATGTACAATTGTACATATGCAGGAGGTTGGAGTTTGCCGTTTAGGACGCAGAAGCGAGCTTGTGCCCATTTTTCCCGTTCAAAGAGACCTGCAATGGACACCACAAGCATTGATGGTCTTAAATCTTGAATACAGAAATTAAACCTAATACATTGGTCAACTATCTCTGAAAAATCAATAACATTTGCCTCATTCAAGCAGCTAATGAAGTGATCAGATAAACTTTTAGGGGAAGCATGAGAAAATGTAGCTCCTAAGGTATGCGTATAGAGAAACCTTTAAAAGCACTTGAGACTCTAAAAGCAAATTTACAACTATAATGTTATGACCAAGGAAGTAATGTGCATAAGGTATATGGCGTACCAGATACTCTTAGCTAATAGATTTGAAGTAACCTTTTCAGCCAGTGAACTCACGTTAGTAAAGCGTAAACACCCATCATTATCATCTACAAATTCGCCAAGTCTGCTCGCTTAACAGGGTGCATACGTTAAATCGCTAAAAGGAACTACCAACCCTTTTCTCATGCAAAAGACACGCATTAGCTGTAACTAAGAGAAAGTTTGGACCTCTGGGGTCAAGAGGACTGCTCCCGAGAGTTCAGCCAAAAAAAGTCACCAATACAGAGTCTATATTTCTAAAGAGCCACTCGAGAAACCTTCATAGAGCACAGCCCAGCGATTTACCCGGATGAACTATGCTTCAGATATTCAGAATCCAAAATGCTGAATTTACTGTAGTCGTCACATGCCGTAATGACTAAATTTCTAAGTTGGCACTTGAGTGGAAGGGCCTAGCAGAAAAAGAACATAATATTATATTTTGATTTTTTTTAAAGACATCCATTAATTGGTCTATTCCATTATTCGAATATAGACTGGGGACCTAAACATTTAGCTTGAGGTGAGTTACCACAAAATGATTCATTCCTTGAATTCTTTTGCTGTTGTTAAAGTAAGAGAGAGAATCTTGAGTAAATTTTCCTTGAATTGAATATTGAGTATGCACATATATTTATACAAGTAGAGGAGTGTGAGGTTTGTTCTCCCAAGCAATGTGGGACTAAAACCCACTACAATACACTATTATCAACAGCCCCCTTCAAACTCATGTTGGATCAAACAAAGTGAGTTTGCGTACAAGAAACTGGAACCGATGAACAGGTAAGGCCTTTGTGAAGAAATCTGCAAGCTCGTCAGCGGATGAAACATGAGGAAGTAGAATTGTCTTGTCCTTGATAACTTGGTGACGGACAAAATGAGCGTCGATCTCAATATGTTTGGTCCTTTCATGAAATACTGGATTATTAGCAATCTGGATGGCACTCTTATTATCACAGTAGAGAGGAGTAGGAGTCGTAACAGAAATACCGAAATCACTGAGAAGGCGACGAAGATGAATAATCTCTTTAGCTGTTGTGGACATTGCACGATACTCTGCCTCAGTACTGGAAAGAGCAATAACATCTTGTTTCTTACTTCGCCAGGAAATAAGGGAATCACCAAGAAATATACAATAACCTGTGGTAGACTTTCTGGTAGTTGGATCACCAGCCCAATCAGCATCAGAATATGCACAAAGCTCTAACTTAGATGTAGCAGGAAACAAAAGTGAGCGAGTGCTAGTACCCCGGAGGTACCGAAGAATCCGTAATAAGACAGCATAGTGTACAGAACGTGGGGCACTAACAAATTGACTGACAATACCAACAGCATGAGAGATATCTGGTCGAGAGATGCACAAATAGACCAACTGACCAACAAGATGTCGATATCGGGTAGGATCAGATAGAGGCTCACCGTCAGTAGAGCAAAGTTTGACATTCTGCTGGAGTGGAGTATCGACAGTTGTATTATCAGTTAACTCAGCTTGATTTAGAATATCTGAGAGATACTTCTGTTGAGACAGTAATACACCCCGCGGGCCTTGAGAAATTTCTAGACCAAGAAAATACCGAAGAGATCCAAGATCCTTCATGTGGAACTGTTGTTGCAACTGAAAGTTTGCGTATTGTATACCTGCCATATCATCACCTGTAATGATCATATCATCTACATAGATGAGTAATAAAACTCTGCCGCGCGATGTAGTGCGAACAAACAGAGAAGCATCTTGATGACTTTCTATAAAGCCCGCTTTGAGCACGACATCGCGAAAACACTCAAACCAAGCGCGGGGTGCCTGTTTGAGACCATAAACAGCACGACGAAGGAGACATACATGTCCCGGAGGAATATTTGACCCTGGAGGTGGTTGCATATATACGGTCTCTGATAAAGAGCCATGAAGAAAAGCATTTTTGACATCCATCTGGTATAAGGGCCAACGATGAGCAGCAGCGACCGCAAGGAGAGTACGAACAGTGGGCATCTGAGCAACAGGAGCAAATGTCTCCTCATAATCAATACATTGTTGCTGAGTAAAACATCGACCCACTAAACGAGCTTTTCGACGTTCAATGGTGCCATCAGGACGAAACTTGACCTTATAAACCCATTTACTGCTAACAAAAGAGATCCCAGGAGGACAGGGAACAACATCCCAGGTATGAGTTTGCTGAAAGGCTTGAAATTCCTCAGCCATAGCCTGTCGCCACTCTGGAATTTGAACTGCCTCTTGGAAGGACTTTGGCTCAACAATAGTATGAATGGCAGCAAGAAAGTTATGAAAGATAGGTGAATAAGAAGTAACAGAAGCATACCGGGCAGGCATGACATGTGGGCGTTTGCCTCGACGAAGAGCAAGAGGAACCTCAGGCGGGGGAGATGCTGGCGCAAGTGCGTGGAGATCAACAGTATTTTCTGGAGTGAGAGTTGTGTCCACGGGATATGGATTAGACGGTGTAAGAGAAGACTCGGGTGAGGAAGAGTCAACAGAAGGAGAGGGAGAGATGTCAGGGAGATCTCGAAAGGAAAATTGAGGTGAAGAAGTGGGTGATGCAGTTGACGGGGAAGCATGATCAGTAGAGTGGAGGAAATTAAAGTCATCAGAAGTAGAATAATATGGAGAATCCTCTTCGAACTGAACATGACGAGATATATGAACTCGACGAGTTGCGGGATCATAACAACGATAACCTCGATGTTCTGAACTAATTCCTAAATAAACACAAGAAACAGCTCTGGGAGACAATTTATCACGTTCGTGAGATGGCAGAAGAACAAAACATCGACAACCAAAAACGCGAACTAGATCATAACGGGGTGGATGAGTATAAACACGACTATAAGGAGTAGCACCGGAAAAAGAGCTAGATGGAGTGATATTAATGGCATGAGTCGCGGTGAGAATAGCCTCAGCCCAAAAACGACGAGGAACAGAGTAAGAAATGAGCATTGATCGAGCAGTATTGAGGATATGACGATATTTGCGTTCAGTAACACCATTTTGCTCATGAGTGTAGGGACATGACTGTTGAAAGATAGTCCCATGAGAGGACATGATAGAGCGCATGATAGAGGATAGGTACTCTTTGGCACAATCAGAACGAAAAACTTTAATACGAGATTGCCATTGAGTAAAAATCATAGCAGTGAAGGCTTGATAAGCAGTAAGTACGTCAGAGCGATTCTTAAGTAGGTAAACCCATGTAAAACGAGAGAAATCGTCGATAAAACTAACATAATATAAGTAGCTAGATGAAGAAGACAAAGGAGTTGGCCCCCAAATATCAGAATGTACTAAATCAAATACGAAAGTGGATACAGATGTACTCATTTTAAATGGTAAAGCACTGAATTTTGCCAATTTGCAACCAGTACATGACTCACTACTAGAACTAGATGATACAGGACCAAGTACTCCAGACTGAATAAGACTCTCCAGCCTTTTATTAGACACATGACCAAGTCGTCTATGCCATAAATTGGCAGGAAGCGAGGTAGAGGGTTTTGACGAACGAAGAGAAGCAACAAGAGAACGTGGACGTATGGACTCTGGAAGGTGAAGATATTCCAGAAAATACAGTTTGTGCCTCCTACGACCCGCCCCAACCGTCTTGCCCGTCTGTGGATCCTGCACAATACAAGTATCAGAAGAAAATGAGACAAACAGGCCCGCCATGCATAAAGAGCTAATAGAAATTAAATTCAAGCACAATTGTGGAGCCACATAGACGGGACCAAGTGTTAGACGACCAGATGGATCATTTTGTGGGGTAATAGAGCCATACTGAGTAATGGACAATGGTTGTCCAGCAGCTGTGTAGATAGGAGGAAGAGAGGATGAAGTAAAGACAGAGGATAAAAGTGAGGCATTACAAGTCATATGAAAGGAACAACCAGAGTCAAAAATCCAGAGATCATTCATACCAGAGACTGAAGGATTAGCTGAAGAACCAGCAAAATGCATACCAGAGAGTTGTGCGGCGGATGTAGAGGTGATATGTTGGAAAGCATCAAGTTGACGGCGAAGACTTTCAATAGCTTGAATAGTAGAGTCTGAAGTAGTAGAAGGTATAGCATTGGCCAACAATCCTGGTGTACGAGAGGGTTGAGACTGAGGGGGTCGCCGACCACGACCAGTACCTGAGGAACGTAACTCAGGATAAAGCTTGAAGCATGTCTCAATACGGTGTCCTTCCTTCTTGCAATATTTGCAAGAGAGCTTAGATCGAGCCTGTGGAGAGGGAGCATGTGGAGAAGTATAATTCATAACAGGAGCAGTGACAGGTAAAGACAAAACAGTCTCGAGTGAAGAGGTAGGAGTGTCTGTTGACAAATTGAGTCGTGTTGTCTGCTGCCGGGTCTCATAAGCAGTGAGAGCTCCCATAACTGAGGCCAAAGTCGGAAATTGAGGCTGGTGAAGTAGTTGATCAGCCATAGTTGAATATTCAGGAAGGGTAACACAGAAGTCGTTTATCGAATCCTGTTTTTGTGGGACTTTGCCTGTGCCGGAAACGCTTTGGTTCGTGGACCGCCGAATCACAGATCGTGAAGGGGGCTTATGATTCTGACTTCGTTTATCGAAGTGAGAATTGAAACGATATCTTATCAAAGTAAGATAGTCGTTCTTCTTAAAATCAAGTCAAAGCTTAATTTCAAGGCGTTGCAAGAAAAACTTAAATCTGCTCTCTCTCTCTCTACTCTG